TTTTGGGGGTCCCCTATTGTCGTAAATTCCTTATGGTGGATTATGGCGTTTTGGGTTCAGGGTTCATAGGGTTTAGGGTCTCAGGGCTTTGGGGGGTGGGTTGGGGTGTTTGGAGGGTTTCGTTTTTTTTGGGGATTTTAGGGCGGCACTGCCGCACTGCCATAGCCTTTCCAAACCCTACCAGCCAAACCCCATCGAATCTTTCCTGTTACTTGCGACTCATTTCCTTAAAGAACCCTAAAACACTCCATGGGGGTTTACGATATAAAAGGGTAGGTCTTTACCTAGACCCTAGACATAAAACCCTAAACCCTAAACCCTAAACCCTAAACCCTGAACCCTGAACCCTAAACCCTAAACCCTAAACCCTAAACCCTAAACCCTAAACCCTAAAGCCTAAACCCTAAACCCTAAACCCTAAACCCTGACCCTGAGCCCTAAACCCTAAATCCTAAACCCTAAACCCTGACCCTGAGCCTAAAACTCCAAAGCCTTCCGCCATGAAGGCTCCTGCGCACCCATGCCGCCGCTGCGGCCGCCCGAGGGTGCGGCGCCGTTCCGCCTTAAGAGAGGGCCATATCCCGAAACCCTAAACCCTAGCCCTAAACCCTAAACCCTAAACCCTTATAAACCCTAAACCCTACCTGGTCCCTCTAACGTACTCCTTTTTATACTCCGAATCCTGGAAACCAAAAATTTCTGGTAATACCAATTTTTTTTGGTATGACTACTTTTTGGGGTTTTAAGGAATCGTTGCAAGCAGACATTGAATGGGAGGTTCTGGGACGAAACCTTGATGGGGGGTCAGGAATGGACTGACATGGTACCCGGGCGCACCTCCCGATGAAGTCGCGGAATGCCAGTGCCACTTTTCCGACAGTAAGCAGACACAGTGAATCGGCAAACCTTTATTACGAATTAGTGTGTACTTGAAACAGCACACAACCCTGGGCAGTGGAAGTGCCAATGCCAGCTTTAGAAAAAACACAGGGTCACCTACCAGCTTTGATGCTGGGACATCATACGGGGCAGTACAGTATACATAAGTGAGATAGTCACAAGCACTGCTCACAGGCTCCAGAGGCATCATCGCCTTGCATCCAAGCTCTACGTACCTCTACCAAATACTTGTTGATGGTACCTACAGCAACACCAGAAGGGTGCGTTGTTCGCGCTATTCGCGACGTATAGCCTACAAATCCTTCCATCATGGGAGTGGCAAAAGCTCCAGGATTCAGAAACCAAGTCTTGTCTGAATTGAACAGGAACTCATGAAGCGACCACAGCCAGTGACATGCGTAATGCATCTTAGGCGTCATGTTAAAGAGGGTCCAGTTTCGCTCGTACCAATACCAGGCCAGGGCCCGGTAGCCTTTCAAAAAGGCACGCAAAAACTTGTAGCCTTTCCGAGCTTCATCCCTTGTCCAAAAGATGCGATTCTGCGAAGTGTAGCACAGTCGGTTAAAGTCATCAAAGCCACAGCAAGCAGCATACGCCAAGGATATAGGCTCAGTCATTTCCAGGGGCATACTTGTAAAAAGATCAATGCACCACTGAAAGAGCATGACGCAATCCATGGCCTTGCACCCACAATCCGGAAAACAGGAAGTACTGTCCCATGCCAAGTTCTCTTTGGTAAACTCCTGCATGTCCCGAGGGTGAAATTTGTTTGCTTGGCAGAAGGAGCGAAAACTCGAATATGCTTCTTCCAACCGCAGTTCCACGCCTCTTTTTCGGCCGGGTGGCAGAAAGAAATTCAGAGGCCCCACCATCATACAAATCACTGAGGCAATGAACGTTCGTCCACAACCGTGGGGCAGAACATGCATTAGATCAAACTGGATGAACTCCGCTTTGTCTGCACCAGGAATGAACCTCAGTGGGGGGGGGTGTCCCAAGGCAAAGTTGTAAAGACAGTCCGCGTCCACAGCGCTCGCATTGAAACATCTTCGAAAGGAATGTCAGACAGGTTGGCCAAGCAATGTGGGCACAAATCATTCCGGGTGTGGTGCCGGAGACAGCGAAAGGCTTTGCTTTGAAAAATATGGTCCCCAGAGAAGCCCAAGCAAACAATGTAGAACTGTGCAACCGAAGTCGGAACACCAACAAAATACGCCGTGCGCATTGATCGTGCCATTTCCTCCAAGAGCCGATCAAGAACGGGATTTCCTGCAGCATTGCCCTGGTTATATTTAGAGTAGAGCTTGGAGGGGCAAGTGCTGAAGAGAAACAGCCTGTCCCAAGAACCATTGCCGATGGCCAACATTGGCCCCCAGGAGAGCTGTAGAACAGGCCTGCGCCTGTGGCCCACACCTTCATCTCCATGAAGAAGCGCAGGAATGCAAGTCGCCAAAGTATTCGCGTGATCCCGGAAGACGGGGTGGCTGCCATCAACACTACGATACCGTTCCCAGAACGCCAAAAGCTTGTTGCTCCAGGATTCTCTGTCTTGCAAAGCACACCCTGCTAAAAGCTTGGGCGCCCATCGGCCATTCAAAACCACTTGGCATGTTGCTCTTACAGGAAGCATGGGGTGTGGCTTGAGCCTCACCATATCTCGACGGCCCTTGCGTTGAACCTTGTGTACCTCGAATGATCAGAGTCGCAGGAAAAAGACAGAAAACACCTATGGCAAAACAAAACAAGCTCGCAAATTACTCTACGCAGACCCAGGTTCATTTTGGATCCAATGAACCGGCACAGGAAGCATCAAGCCATGGCTTTTCAGCCGGGACGACATATCCCGGAAGCAGTTGCGACTTCCGGCTTTCACACGGCTCAAGTCCTCGAGCTGTTCCTTGTCTTCACGATGATACTCCCAGGAAGCCAGCTTGGCTTGTGAAGCAGCCAGTTTGGCCGCCCTTTTACCTGTGCAATCCTTAGTGTTTCTTTCCCTTATGAAATCACATTAGACATTGGACAGACCAGCTGACACTACTTCACTTGAAACACCGGGCCAAGAAGCCACAAAGGCAGACACAACATTCTCAATGTGTTCGGAATGTCGACGTTTGAGAGCACCTGCCCACGGGAAAAATAGTTCTACTTACTCCACGGAACCAGGAATAAGTAGTATTACACCCCCCCTTCCCTCCCAATTTTATGACTGCATACTCTTTGTTTTTGCTTCCTGGAGGAATCCGGTTTCTTGAAATCAGCAGCTGTAAAAACAACCGCGCAGCAACTTGCCCAGCTGGCTCCCCATGGTATCATGAGCACGCAAGTGTTTCATTCACAAGGCCTTTTATACAAAACTGGCCACACATACACACATGGGGCGCGCAGCTCAAAACGCAAGTGGCAGTGGCATTCCCTGACTCAGCGATCAGTCCATGTCCGTCTGTTTTCTCTTGGGCTGGGATTTGGTCTTGGCAGCAGTCTTGGCGAAGTAAGTCCTGAGTTGTTGTTCTTCAGGGATCTATTACCCTAGGCCCGAAGTTCTGTAGAAATCCCTATCATTACGGAAAGAGCGATGCTGGTGTTTCTGGGCAAGAGTTTATGGTGTTAAGAAGGGTAGGGTTTAGGATACATCTCCAGGGTTTAGAGTTGAAAAAGGGAGTAGGGTTTTTATAGGGTGGTTTAGAGGGGGGGGGGGTATAGGGCCTAAAAAGGGTTTAGGGTTGTTATACGGTATAGTGAAAGATTGCTTTCTCAAGCGCGCTGCTTGATCTGCGCATGGTAGGTATTGAACATAATGCTCCTCAGATCAGACAGAAATAAGCCCTATTCTTCAGACATAGCCTACTCTGGTAGAGGTAAACCCTATAAACCCTAAACCCTAAACCCTAAACCCTAAACCCTAAACCCTAAAACCCTAAACCCTAAACCCTAAACCCTAAACCCTAAACCCTATAAACCCTAAACCCCTATAAACCCTAAACCCCTATAAACCCTAAACCCTAAACCCTAAACCCTAAACCCTAAACCCTAAACCCCTATACATACTTGTGGTAAAATATTTCTGGAAACATCATCAAAGTCACTCCGACCTGATGCTCTCCACCAGACTGACGTAGCTCTGCTTCCTGGGTATCGGGCCTATAGGTAGAAACATACCCTGTCCTGAGATATAACCTGCTTCAACCCTTTCCAAACCCTGTAAAACAAAAACCATACAGGTCAACCCTGACCCTCCCCCCCCCCCCCCCCCCTCCCCCCCCCCCCCCGTGCTGGCCATTCATCTGCTGCTGATGAGACCGGCCTCCTGAGGAGGCGGGACACCGCTGAAAACCCTAAACCCGTACAAGTTCAATCCTGATAGGGGTGAGTCTCTGGCCCTACACAAGGTACCCTATAGAAGAACCACAAATAAGATGGCTATAATGTAGACCAGGGGCGCACGGCCAGTGGATCCAGCTTCCAGCTTGGCCATGTCATTCAAATAGCTGGAGAGTTTGCCTTGCGTGTCTTTAGGGTTTAGGGTTTATAGGGTTTAGGGTTTAGGGTTTATAGGGTTTATAGGGTTTAGGGTTTAGGGTTTAGAGGGTTTAGGGTTTATAGGGTTTAGGGTTTAGGGTTTATAGGGTTTATAGGGTTTAGGGTTTAGGGTTTAGGGTTTAGAGGGTTTAGGGTTATAGGGTTTATAGGGTTTAGGGTTTATAGGATTTAGGGTTTAGGGTTTAGGGTTAGGGTTTAGGGTTATAGGGTTTAGGGTTCATAGGGTTTAGGGTTTATAGGGTTTACATCATGTTTGACCTTATATAGGAATTTAAAATTCAGATGACTCGGGTCATTCCAGGAGACCCACAGAAGCCTCGAGGTTGCGCATGTCAGTCCTCAGACATGACGCTAAAACCCTACAAAGCTCCCTCAGAAATTTACAGAGCCTCAATCAGAGACCCTACACACCATATAATCCTGAAGAACCCTTCCCTGTAGAAAACCCTCGCAAGACTCAAGGGAAGGGAGGGAAGGAAGGGAGGGAGTGGGGGGGAGTGGGGGGGAGTAGGGAGGGGCGGGCAGGGGTGGGGCAGAGCTCAGGGCCAGGAACACTCTACCTTCTATGAGGCAAGGTACTCATACCCTTTCGCCTGGTCCTTCTCCAGCCTCTCTTTGGCCACCTTGACCAAGGCTTTGCGCGAGAGGATCGCCCGCCGATACTGTCCCAGGTATTCCTGGAGTGTTTCGTCACCCTCTACCTGAGGGAACTCCTCAAGCTTTCGCCTGACAGCGCCCCCACCTCCACCAGTCCCAGCGCCTGTGCCACCATCGCTGCCGGAGCCATCTGGGTCGTCCAAAAGGTCGCCTAGCTCGAAGTCGCTGGACATCAAGCCCATGTCCACCATTTCCTGCTGAAGCTCTTGAAGCTTCTCTTCGGCTGATTCCACGTCGTCCCGAACAAGGACAAGAAACTTCTTGATGCTGGGATCGTAAATGTCTTTCCTTTCAGGAGGCCCACCCTCATGAACCCTTATGCGTTTTAACACTGCAACACTGAAACAAATAAAGTCCTCACACGTGCAAAAAAAACAGGATGCCATGACAAGCATGGCACTTCGTGAGTTTGCGCTTGTCGCAGTACTTCATGGCACCAGCCACTCTGCTCCTGGCTTGGGAGTTGGGCGGAAGGGCTCTACTGTTTCTTGTGATCACACACACAGATGTTCTTCTTGAAAGGTATATGGCGGTGCTAATTTGTGTTTAGCTTCTGCGGCCACTTGAGCTCATCAGTCATCTCTTGCTCTGTCTTCCAGGAGTAACCCTGGAGGTTCTTGCGCCACTTGCGCGTCTTGGTGCGGAAGGTGATGAGGCAATTCAGCTTGGCCTGGCAACATATTTTCAACAAAACGACAAGCCCTCAGAAGGCTTAAGGTTGGGGCGGGAGGGGGGGGAGGGTGAATACAGGCAACTGTTGCCTCAACAACCCCAGAGCCCTTTCCAAAGCCCACACCCCAAACAAGCCTAAACCCTATAAACCCTATCAACCTTGTGAACCCTATAACCCTAAAGCTTCTTATAAAACTCTTCATTATAAGCCCTATAGAACCTTATAAAGCCCATAGCCCTTTTCAAGAAGACCCCAGAATTTTGTATGGAGGTGGCTGCTCCATTGCTGCTACACGAGCTGGAGGCACAAGCTTAGGGTTTACAGAGTTTAGGGTTTAGGGTTATCGGGTTGTAGTTCTTTGGGTTTTTCTTAGGCTTCCCCACATTTGCCTCCATAGTGTCTATTTCGGGGGTTGTGCCTTGTGCTGCGCGGGGTCCCCCCCCGGGATGTAGCATCGGGCTATGAAGTCACGGAGCAGCCCTTGTCTTTGAAGATCTCCTCCCGCACAGCAGGGTGAAAGTACCGGCTGCATAGTGTTATATGGGGTGGAACAAGGTATTCACATTATTGTGTTCCAGTTTAGTGCTCGACAGGGTTTCTGTAGGGTTTATATAGGGTTGGGTATCCAACCTCAAAGAAAAGCACTACCCTAGTCAAAGAATCACCCAGTAAAATGTTTAACCCCGTGTATAACCCTAAAAGCAGCATGCCAACCTGCATCCCACTGCGCTTTGATGTCGGCCAAACAGTCCGGTTGGCGAGTCATACGGTAGAGAGCCCCCCAAGCAGCAGGGTGTGTACTGGAGTTGAAGGGACCCGCCCCGATGCCCTGGGGAAACACGCTTGCACTTATGGCCTGCTGGCTGTCTGGCACGGGGGGCGGCACAGGCGCAGAGGCCGGACTGGTGCTCGGCACGTGTGTTGGAAAAGCCGACGAGGCAGGGGTTGGCAGAGGCGGCAATGCAAGTGCAAGCCTGGTAGGCTCAACTTGCGTGGGAATCGGGGCAGGGCGCGGTGCAGGTGGGCATAGCACAGAAGCCTGTGAAGGCGGGCTGGGGCCAGGATGTGTTGGCGAGGGTGTGGTCAGTGGTGCTCTGCCTAGCTTTGCACGCAGCCTGTCCTTTGCATCGTCGTGGATTTTCTGCACAGACGAAGCCCCTTGTTCTTGGCTTTTCTGCACAGACCTAGCCTCTTGTTCTGCTTTCACAGAGGACACGTGCTCAATGATGAGGGCAAGATCATGCTCATGAGTGTCCCTCTCCTCCTGCATACGCAGTCGTGAGTCCTCTTCTTGTTGTTTCATCCTGGCTTCATTATCTTGCTCCTTCTGTTGCATTGCTGCTTCTCTTGCTTTCATCCTGGCTACATGCTCTTGCTCCTCCTGTTGCATTCTTGCTCGGTGCCGACGCGTAGCCTCCTGCAGCTCCTCCTCGTGCTTGGCCAAGGCATCCACCATTTCCTTACGCATGGCTGCCAAGCGAATGTTCATTTCGTCTTGGACGGCTTGCTCCTGCTTCATTCTCTTGGCGGGTGGCATTGTGTCCTCTTCAAGCTGACTCTTGTCTTGCGGGGCCATAACCTGCTCATGTGCTTGCGAGGCCATAACCTGGGGGGCCATAACCTGCTCATGTGCTTGGGGGGCCATAACCTGTTGATGTGCTTGCGGGGCCATTGCTTGCGGGGCCATAACCTGGTGCACGTGCGGGGACATAACCTGCTGTTGTGGGGCCATAGCCTGCGGTTGCTCAGGGCCCTTTGGTGGAGGCCACACACTGCCCCCGGCACTTCCACTGGAGAAGCCTCATACACGGGCAGACGGGCGGGGTGGAACACCCAGCCAGGAAGGAGGAGAAAAAAAAAAAAACACGTAAGCTAATTGGGCAGAAAAATATAAGCTAAGTAGCCACGACGGAGAGCATTGTGCGCTTGCAAGTACTCTGCCTTGAGGGCCTTGGATTCTGGAGTGTCCCGCATAGATTTCCACAGCTCTGCTGTCTCTGGAGACAAGCCCAACATGTGGTCATCCTCATTTTCTTTCTTGACCTGCAGGGCACCCCCCCCCCCCTCCCCTACATGTTCTTAGTTGTACACCTCCCCCCGTTTTCCAAGACAGAAGCCTTGCTTGGCGTAGCCATTAGACCCTCGCCCTGATCCTCCAGGTTCTTCATGCCCACATAGAGGCTGCTACACGACATGGCCCCAAGCAGGGGCTAGGAAAACAACCCAAGCAAGGCCCGACAATACCAGAAGACCCTGTGTGGACCTTTAAGACCCTCGAAGCCGAAAACCCAATCTATAAAGCACACCATCACGACCAGGCAGTGCCCGCTTGCTGCTCTGAAGGCCAGCCAGGTCATTTCTTGAAGGGTTTATAGGGTCTAGAGGGTTTAGGGTTTTGTGGGTTTTGGACCCTGCAAAGGCCTAAAGGCCTTAGGATTTTTGAGGTAGGGTTGAGAAATCTTCAGGGTAATATATCAGAGTTTAGGACAACTAGCTAGGTGGCTCTAAAGGGTTTAGAGGGCCCTAAAGCCCTAAATCCCTAAAACCCTAAAAGCCCAATCCTAAAGCCCTAAGACCATAGTTGCCCTAAAAGCCCAAGACCCTACGTACACTCCCTAATGAGCCCAACAACCCTAGAACTCTAGAAACCCTAAGAAACCCTCACCCCACCCTATATAAACAGACAAAGAGGACTTCCTTGACGTGTTGTCCAGGGATTTCAGAGGATTTTGGCATGGTTGGTAAGAACCCTATTTGAAGCCCTAAGAAGACCTGCGAAGCGAATCGCCGCATGAGGCCGATTGGGCAGCCCAACTAATCAGTTTTAACGCTGCGCGGGGTGTGCGCGTTATGTGCGGCAAGAGGAAGCACGGTCGCTGTTCGTATTCCGACACTTGGATCGGCACGACTACATCGCGAAGGACCATCACAATCCAGAATTGCGTCGGCTGGACCGCATGATTGCCTACATGCTCGGTCAGAGGACAGACGCACGACCACAGCATCCAGAGCATCTTCGAGCCCGCCCAACCCACCCACCCTCTCATAAACAAGAACCCTCATAAGGCTTTTAGGGTATTAGGGTTTGTGATTTGTTGGGGTTGAAGGATTTCATGGGCCTGCCTCTGGGGCTTCTGGGTCTTAGGGTTTATGGGGGTTGCAAGGGCACTGTGGCCTGACAGCGGAAGGCCATAAAAGCTTAATTATAAGACCCTAGAACCCTAAAACTCCCAAGCTGATAAGGTTCGGGTGCTGCTGGGGCTTGGGTTTCGACCCTATGAGGCCCTAAATACCCTAAAACCCTAAACCCTAAAACCCTATAACCCTAAACCCTAAACCCTAAAACCCTAAACCTCCTAAACCCTAAACCTCCTAAACCCTAAACCCTAAACCCTGAACCCTAAACCCTGAACCCTGAACCCTAAACCCTAAACCCTAAACCCTAAACCCTAAACCCTAAACCCTAAACCCTAAACCCTAAACCCTAAACCCTAAACCCTAAACCCTTAACCAAAACCCTAAACCCTAAACCCTAAACCTAAACCCTAACCCTAAACCCTAACCCTAAACCCTAAACCCTATAACCCTAAACCCTAAACCCCCCTAAACCCTAAACCCTAAACCCTAAACCCTATAAACCCTAAACCCTAAACCCTTAACCCTTAACCCTAAACCCTTATAAACCCTAAACCCTATAACCCTAAACCCTAAACCCTATAACCCTTATAAACCCTAAACCCTAAACCCTAAACCCTAAACCCTAAACCCTAACCCTGGGAGTGATGTCCAAGCAGGTCGTCATCAAGTGGGACCACCCTGAGAGCTACAACATCCCTGTGCAGCACTATCGGGTGCCGAGGCTGCCTAGGGTTTAGGGTTTAGGGTTTAGAGGGTTTAGGGTTTAGGGTTTCTAAGGTTTATAGGGTTTATAGGGTTTAGGGTTTATAAACCCTATAAACCCTAAACCGTAAAACTCTGCAGCCGGGGTCTGGAGCTGCTTGGAATTGGGTTTTCGGGCTTATATAGGGTTTAGGGGGGGTTCAGAGGACCCTAAGGTCTAGAACCCTAAAACCCCAAAACCCTTACAGCCCATTGCAGGCCTTAGAGTTTATCTACGGTTCTGGGGGTTTAGGAGGGTCCCTTAAACCCTAGAACCCTAAAACCCCAAAACACTTGCAGCCCAAGCCCGGAGTTTGGCCTTAGGGTTCCAGGGCCCTAGAATACCCGAAGACCCTTAAAACCCTAAACCCTATAAACCCTATAAACCCTAAGCAAGCAGCTAAGCAACCCAGTTCTCTGCACCCTTAAACTTCAACGATTTGGGTTTTAGGGTTTTAAGGGTCTTCGGCAACCCTAAACCCTAAACCCTAAACCCTAAACCCTAAACCCTAAACCCTAAACCCTAAACCCTAAATCCTAAACCCTAAACCCTAAACCCTAAACCCTAAACCCTAAACCCTAAACCCTAAACCCTAAACCCTAAACCCTAGGCTAACCCTAAACCCTATAAACCCTCAACCCTAAACCCTAAACCATATATACACCTTAAACCCTATAAACCCTATAAGCCCTATAAACCCTATAAACCCTATAAACCCTATAAACCCTATAAACCCTATAAACCCTATAAACCCTAAGCAAACAGCTAAGCAACCCAGTTCTCTGCACCCTTAAACTTCAACGATTTGGGTTTTAGGGTTTTAAGGGTCTTCGGGTATTCTCGGGCCCTGGAACCCTAACGCTAACCCTAAACCCTATAAACCCTCAACCCTAAACCCTAAACCTTATATACACCTTAAACCCTATAAACCCTATAAACCCTATAAACCCTATAAACCCTATAAACCCTATAAACCCTATAAACCCTATAAACCCTATAAACCCTATAAACCCTATAAACCCTAAGCAAACAGGGTTTATAGGGTTTATAGGGTTTATAGGGCTTATAGGGTTTAAGGTGTATATATGGTTTAGGGTTTAGGTTTGAGGGTTTATAGGGTTTAGGGTTAGGGTTAACTGAAGGCCGCGCCTACAAGATGGTTTAGGGTTTAGGGTTTAGGGTTGAGGGTTTCTAATTCATGTAGAGGTTTAGGGTTTCTTGACAAAACCCCCACTAAACCCTAAACCCTCTTGGCACCTCCATGACATCTCTGGGGTTCGTCTCCTGCGCACGGTGTGCTTTTAACATTCAGGGTGGGTTTACCAGTTTTTTGGGGTTGTTAGGTTTTTTGGTTTTCCTATTTGTCTCGAAATACCAATTTTTTGGTCAGGGGGGGCCCCTAATTTTTCTGTTCGTTTCCGTGCGTTTCTTGCGCACTTTTTTGGTTTTCCGTGCTGTTTTTTTGGTTTTCCGTTGCTTTCTGTTTTGGGGTGTTTTGGGTTTTCGAGGCCATTTTTTGGTTTTTGGGACGGTTTGTGTTTTTTGGTTTTTTTATTTTTTGGTTTCTGGGTCTTGCTGGTCTTCAGTTTTTGGTTTTTTGTTGTTTTTTGGTTTTCCGGGCGTTGCAGGTCTTCTTTTTTTGGTTTTCTTGCTTTTTTGGCTTCTCCGGACGTTGCAGGCGTTCATTTGCTTTTGGTGTTTCGGGTTTTGCAGCTCTTAAGATGTGCTGGAGGGTGTTCTGCTGTGTTTCTCTGGCGTTTTCCGTTGGTTTCTCGTGCTGTACTGGGTTCAAAGGTCTGTTTCGGAGGGTCTTTTGCGGTTGCTAGAGGATTGAGGGACAATTGTGACTACCCTAAACCCTATAAACCCTAAAGATCCTTTGGGATCAAGGGCTCTAAAGGTTCTAGGGTTTCGCAAGAAAGGATTAAGGGACGATTGCGACGGGTTTAGGGTTTAGGGTTTAGGGTTTAGGGTTTATAAGGGTTTAGGGTTTATAAGGGTTTAGGGTATAGGGTTTAGGGTTTAGGGTTTAGGGTTTAGGGTTCAGGGTTTAGGGTTTAGGGATCAAGGGCTTTACAGGTTCTAGGGTCCAAGTGTCAGGGTTCTAGTGGCTTCGCATTCAGGGTTGGACTTTCGAGGTTTGGGCTTGCGTATAGAGATGGGGGGGGGGAGAGAATGGCCAGTGTAAAGGTTCCAGTTTTGGGGTGTTTCAGAGGCTCTTCAAGCTTGGGGCTTTTACAGGGCTTAGGGTTTATAGGGGTTATAGGGTTTAGGGTTTAGGGTTTATAGGGTTTAGGGTTGATATTCTGCATTCGAGTAGATATCGGGTGAGTTTAGGGTTTAAGGTTTAGAAGGGTATAGGGTTTAGGGTTTATAGGGTTTAGGGTTTATAAGGCTTTGGGGTTTAGGGTAGAGAGAGACCCTATGTAAACCCTAGAAGGCTGTAACCCTAGCAGCCGAGCTCATATATACCCTGAATACCTATAGGCCTGCTGGAGCTAGTAGGCGGGAGTCCTTGTAATACCCGAATACCCTAAACCAGAGCAACCAACAAACACCAAGACGGCTGAGTATGAGCGCTTAGGAACCATCTTCCCGAAACAAAACTCTCCTATATATCCCTCGAAAGCCTGCAACCCTTGAGGGTCCTACATATAGTCTTCGTTTTTGGGGCTTACATAGGTTCTATTCTTGGGGCGGGGGGGTGGGGGGGAGGGGGATCAGAAGACATTCAAGGTCTCATAGGAACCCTAAACCCTGAGGACCTCTATAACCCAAAGTGGCACGTAAAACCGAAAAAGGGAGCGAAATCAACGCAGCTGTTCCCAGGAACATGAGCGGGCCATGCCACCCCAAATTTCACGCGTGGACCTTGCCACTGCAAGACTCCCAGAAAAGCCCATGCCTGCGCACGCAGAACTGTTAGAGTAGCATGCGGAGGGGTTTATGAGAAAAGCAGGATACATTGCAGGCAGGAGCTACTGGATCCCTAAGCCCTCGAGGTCCAGAGCACTGTACAGCTCTGGAGGCACATCAAGATTCGAGCTCTGCAGCAAATAGCTCACCACCGAAGCCAAGCCCGCGTCCTCCACCCAAAAGCGAGAAGCCCCATCTTCGTAATGGCTCATCGAAGCCAAGAGCAGGCTCACCGACGCGTCAGTGGGCACAACCTGAGCTGGTGGAAACCCTATAAACCCTAAACCCCTAAACCCTATAACCCTATAGACCCTAAACCCTATTACAAACCCTAAACCCGGAACCCGAAACCCGAAACCCTAAACCCTAAACCCTAAACCCTAAACCCTAAACCCTAAA